CTGGACACCCTTGGGGGATAAGAGGGGTTTTTGCAAAGTATTTTGAGTGCTGGGCAGTGCAAGGGGGGGGTACTCCCAGTGAGAACCAGTTGTCAGCTCTGGCAAGGAGCAGGGTGGTTTTGAGGTGTAGGAATGGTTGTGGCACGCACATGTGAGCGAATAAACACATTCCTCCAGCACTGGAGGAGTTGAATGCAATGGGGAAAAGTCAAGGGGAGAGCTCAGGTCACAGCATCACTTTATGCATAGGGTGTGCAGTGCTGGTGGGAAGCAGCCGTGAGCTCAACCTCATGTGAGACCACGGCTCTGATCCCCAAACTGAACCCCAAACAGAGCTGAGGATGGAGCCCAGGTCTGACCTCCATGATGTGCCGCTGCCAGTGTGTCCTGGAGAGGGCCCAGCTGCTCGTGAGAGGCACTTTCCTTCTCCCACGGGAGGTTTCAAGCTGCTTTCAGTTGGAAATGTTAGTGCTGTTCCCATGTGAAGTGACATTTTCCAGCTCTTCAGTTCCAGCAGCACAAAATTGCATTTTCAGGCCAAACAAAAGGAAGATCTTTGTTTTGACACGTGTGGCAGAGAGAACGTTGGGGGGTTTGTTTTTTTTCCTTTGGCATTGATGGTTTTCCTCTTGTGACAACTCTCAGTGTAGACAACGGGGCAGTGTTGCATGGGCAGGCTCTTCATGGGAGAGGAAAGCTGCAGTAAAGCCTGAGGAGACTCCACTGTCCTGGTTCACGCTGGGGAATTGCAAAGCAGGGGGACACGACCCCTGAGCTGGGGGTGCCTCTGCTTTGCTTCTCCCCAGGGCCTGGTCCCTTCCTGCTGCCCTCAGCTGCAGCTGGAGGAAATGCTGATCCTCAGCTGCAATCAGTGATGCTGCAGCTGATCCCCAGGCCCTGCACCTCTCACCTCGCTGCTGCTTCCTCTCCACTTCCCCATGGGCTGGAGAAGGCCCCAGCCCCTTCCTCCTGCAGGAGGGAGCGTGGGAAGCGTCCACCATCGTTTTGGGGAGCAGGGGGCTGTGGTTTTATGCTGTGAGCTCCGCTCCTCGTGCTTGTGCCTCAGTTTCTCTCCGTGTGAAGAGTGAGGGATGATCCACAGCTACTCCAGAAGGATGAGCTGTGCTAGGGATGCACTAAGAAGTACTTTACAGAACGCTTCACAGGCTGGTTTCTGGGCAGCAGCAAGGACCAGTTCAGGAGCTGCAAGGCTCCTCTGCTGCCTGGCTGCAGGACTGCAGAGCACAGAGGATTTGGGATCCCCTGGAGCCGTGTGCTGGCCCCAGCAGCCAAAAATTGTGGATGCATCCATATGGCTGAGGCTGATGTGCAGACTTGTGCCCCTCATGCCCAGGCCTGGCAGGACTGACATGGCCACACCATCCCACTGTGCCGGGCCCTGTTGTCCCAGGGTGTCTTTTGTCCCCGCAGCGTGTCCGCCTGCAAGCTGCCGGACGAGGCCTGCTTCATCCTCTACGAGTTCTGGCAGGACGTGACTTCGTGGAGAAGGTTGGAGCCTTTCCTTGTGCGGGGCCGGGTCTGGATGCTCTGGGCAGGGGGTGCTGACAGGATTTGGGGAGCCAGGGTGGGGGTGGATACCAGAAGCAGCCCTGTCCCCGTGCGGGGCCGGGCACCCCCTGACCCTGGGTGCTGTTTCGCAGCCACTTGCAGTCCAGCTGCAGCAAGGCTTTCCAGCGCGCCATCGTCAGCTTGCTGGAGTCCCCGGAGCTGCTGACCACCATGCTCTTCCCAGGTGAGGGGGGGACAACACCAGCCTGGGGGGCCCTGAG